GATAGACAGACAAACAGGCACAGATAGACAGATAGACAGATAGATAGATAGATAGATAGACAGACGGACGGATGGATAGATAGATAGATAGATAGACAAACAGGCACAGATAGATAGATAGATAGACAGACAAACAGGCACAGATAGATAGATAGATAGATAGATAGATAGACAGGCGAACAGACAGACAGATCCAAGAAACTGTTTTCCTCAAACAGTGTTGCATACAGTCACCAAGGTTTGCATACTTTAATTTTTAATGGGTCTTTAGGGGTCATGTGGTCAAGAGTTCAAGTCACCATCGCTCAAACAGCCGCGACTGTTCCAGTCTGCCCCGCCACGGGAACGAAGACCTCCACCCGTCCAGCACCGAGGCATTCCTGAATGGGTCGGTACCGTCTGCCAACAGCCTGAGTCCGGTGATGCACCCCAAATCCTTTCAGCCGCTCAACCGCTCGGCGTCATGCGGTAAAGACCTGGCCAGCCTGCATCACGCCAAAGAGGCCAAATCCAAAGCAGGCGATTTTGACTTTGGCAAACCGGCGGACGGACCGGTGCCCAAATACCTGAAATCCAACACGCCTCGCTCCCAGAACCGCCATTCCTTTGTGGAGGGCAAGACCAGCACTTTGGCGGGGGACCGGGAGAAACAGAGCCGCCACGGCACATCTTTGGGCGGAAAGGGGTCGTCTTCGTACCTGAGTTTGTCCAAGAGTCACGGAGTGCTTAGCGACGCCAAATCCGTGAGCAACCTCAGCGACATGCGACTGCACCCAGATGACCCCGCCGGCTCGCCGCGCTACTTCCCCAGCAGCTGCTTGGACCTCAACATGAACCTGAACTTGCCAGCGCCGGGCAGTCCATCCCTGCAACACGGGGAGCGTTCCGGACACAGTCCCGCAGTGGGGCGTCGCAGCAAGCTGGAACGGGATGGAAGCATGGCTGAGCCGTCCACCCGCCGTTCCTCATCAAGGCAGAAGAGTGACGGAAACCCTGTCGATCCGCTTGACCCCATAGGGGGACTGTCTCTTTCGGCACCCCATGAGTTCCCCTACGGCATGGGCTACACCAGCCCGTTTTCCTCCCAGCAGAGGCCGCATAGGCACTCCATGTATGTGCGGAGGGAACGGGGGCGACCCCACGGAGGTGAGGCGGGCGGATTGGCAGTGGGGCAAGGGATGTCCACGAGGGCCAGCAGTCTACAGCTCCTGACCCCTCAGCTACAGCATCGGACCCTGCCGAGACACATGGACAATGCCGTGTCGCGGGAAGCGGGATTAGACGACATCAGGGTCAGTCCTCCAGACCTCTTTCACTTTCTTTAGTGATTTGCTAGCGCAGAGCATTGCAGCATGCTTTATGATGCCTGTGAGTGTTCGTGAAGTGTGTAGAGTTGGTCCAGTGGTGGGTCTGGATGAGGAGTGGACAGCTTTAGCTCCAGTGTTTAGCTCCATCCCTAATCAGTCAGACCTGAAAAATCCATCCAAAGTCTTCAAGTTTGCAGGTTGAAAATTGCAGGCAGGTGTGTTTGGTCAAGGTTGGAGCTAAACTCTGCATGACAGTAATTCTACAGGATTGGAGTTGCCCATCCCGGGTCTGGGTGAAGTCTGGACGTGTGGCTTGTAAATATTAGGCTCCGTTCCAAACCTTAATAAGCTGCCCCAGTGTCTATTGTCTACATAGGCTGCTAGCTTCTAAGGCAACATCCTACAAAATTTAGAATTAAAATATTGGCTCCCTTTCGGTTGATGGGAGTGAATTTGATTTTAATTGACCACAAAACATAGGGAGTTGAATTTGAATGACAGGAAGAGGAAATGCGGTTGTTTTGGCTATATTACTTTTTTGTAACAAACTAAAAAGTAACAAACTAAAAAAAACAACAAACTAAAAAGTGCATGTGATATTAACAGACGAACTACGCTCATATTTATAATTCCAAACAATCAGTAAGCGACAGGTGCTAGGAAACGCTGTTTTGTACTCATTTATTGACGAGTCGGCTGCGGTGCGCTGCTTCTCTGCCACTCACTGCACAGAACAGACGCCGAGAGAGGTAACACTTCTCCGGGAAAGTCAACCTCGCGCTCGAGGGACAGCACTGGCGAAATCTTTTAACTGAACCATAGCTAGGTTTGTCAGTATGAATATTCTATGGAAAAAAGCCGCTAAAAGGGCCTGAAAGTTGCTAAATCTAGTGCTAAAGTCGCGCTCGTGTGTGTGAGACGCGGGAGCTGATGGCAGGGGGCGGTGGATATTTGTGGCGGTCAATGTGGATATTGTGGATGAGTTCTTCTGTGTCATCACGTTCTATTAGTTCTACAGCTTCAGTTTCAGAACTTTCACGCTTAGTAACACATACAGCATACGCTTAGTTCCCTCACCACAGTGCAACAGTGAAAAGGGACCCCTTTCAAACAGTGTCGCGTTCCAAACATTGTTTAAGTGACATACACCGGTATTGCGGTATTTAAAAAAATTCATATCATAACAAAAATAAAAACCGGTATTCGGTATGAACCGGTATACCGCCCAGCACTAATAGAATAGCAATATGTACAATTTGTTCATCTGAAATATCAAAGAGTCGGCTTATTGTTGAAGAACTGTACTACTGGTTTAATTTATCACCTGAGAAAATTATACTCTGAACAGCATAAATAGCAACAGGTACCCTATTACCCAAATTTAAATACTGAAACTTTATTTTTCATTTTGATAAAAAAAAAAAAATTTGATCATCACCAATGTTGTCTAAATAAAAAAATAAATAAAAAAACTGTTTCAAAAAATACAAATATAACATTGAAATCATTCATTTTAATTATGCATTTCCAACATTATTCATTAGAAAAATCGCTAATATTGGGTAACCAGTATGGTGCCGATATATAAGCGAATGAGAACTTGGGCTCTCAGGCTCAAAAAATGTAAAATAAAAACCACTCTATGCAACATCCTCCCAGTGCCTTCATGAGAGAAATAGCA